AAAAGGTAAGTCACATAATCTCTTTCAAGGCTAACGGCTTTGTGTCTCACTCATGGTAAAGCCAAAACCCCTGTAATGGCCTGCAGGGCCTTACCTGATCTGCTTTCCCTTTACCATTGACCCTGTTTTTCTTCCCTCCCTCCCTTACCCTCCCAGCTATATTGTCCCCTATGTGTTCTTTGCCATCAGTCAGAGCCTGCCTCTCAGTCTTTGCACTTCTTCCCTGGCCTGGATGCCCTTCCTGAGTTATTTGCATGATATACCCCTTACTGCCTTCAGGGATTTGCTCAAATGTCACTTTCTCAGCGAGGCCCTCTTTGATTGTGCTATTTAAAAATTAAACTCTGCTTCCTCTGTCCTGTGATTACTTCTTATCTCATTTTTCTGCTTTATTTTTCTTCTTAGTGCTTATCACCATTTAATATATATTTTACTTTTTTTGTTTCTCTGTCTCCTCCCACTTGCATATAAGCTTCATGAAGAGAGATATTTTTCATATCTTTTGATTCCTGATGTATCCTTAACACCAAACAGTATTTGCTTCATAAGAAGCACTTAAATATTTGAATGAACAAATATATGCGTGTGTTCAATCCACAATTTTTAATCTAGAAGTCTGTACTCTAAAATTATCAGCAGTTGTTTTCTTTCAAAATGGTGAGTGGATAGAGTAACATAAGTGAAGTAACTTATGTGAAAACTCTTTAATAGTGAAATTTTTTTTTAACAACTAGGTTTACACTTAACTATTTTAGAGAAACCCAGGATAGAATTGTTGCTTTTACTAAAGTTTAGTGATAGAAATACCAATTAGAAAAATCAATTTGAAATTGGTACTATTTCTTCTGGGGGACATGGGTAGTCAAACTGCCCATCTGAAAGTAACATTGTGGCTCATATTTCTGCCTCCTTGCTGTTCTCTGAAATCTACCAGGGACAGGCACAGTACAGTTTCACATCAGAAACTGTTCGCCTTTTTTCCCTGCCTTTCTTTTTCTTGGCTTTTGTTAAAATACTGTGCTTCCAGGCACTTCACATATGTCATCTCATTGAAGCCTCATAACTATTCCTTTGGTAAGTGCATTATTCCATTGAAACCAAGACTGAAGAGATTAAGTAGGTCAAATAACTGGGTAGTCTGTATTTGAATTCCAAAACCACAACATTTGCTTCCTGATTTCATTAAAATCTGAAAAATAAAGCAAAACTGATTATTAAAAATGTCCTGAATGTTAACATTTTAGCATAAAAATATTATCCATGGATATACATAAAATGAATTACAGATTAATTTCAGTCACTGTTTTTATGAAGTCCATCAGCAATGATCATTTCCTATGTTTTTAAAATTAGAATTATTATAGTTGAAATAAATTCTAATTCTAATTCTTTATGTTTCTCAACCATTGTGAAATATATTGCAGCTGATTTACTCATCTTGGTGGTACTTTCATTCACGTTAACTGATGAAACAA